TCGCAATATTGACTAAGCATAAAACAAAAACAGAGCCAATATCTGTGTGCAAAAAAGGGGGTTTGTTTTAGGTTTTTTCCTGTTTTTCAAGGGTTTTGACTGTGCCCAAGAGGCGTCTTACCAATAAACCTTATTATTAAGTTGAGGAGAGGAGAGCGGATGCCAGGGGGTTCCAATTTCAATAGACGACGTATGTGTGGTAGTGGTGGTGGTGTGGTGTGTGGTGTCAAATGCCTTGCGAAGGCCGAAGCAGATCACAACCATGGGATGCTGCTCAAAAAAAAGGAAAGTGACGAGGTGAAATTGTGTGAGACGTTTCGCATCATCTTATAGGCAGAAACCCATGATGTGAGTTGCTTAAAAGCTTCTTTTCCAGACAAGAATCGACAATTTTTTAAATTTTATTTCAAGAAGTTTTGTTACAGCTAAGGTTTCTGAACACCCCGATAATTATTTACGTCTGAACGAGATCTGACATCAGTATCAGTGTCAGTTTATTTTGTGAAAGATATGCGAACGCCTTTGAATTCTCTATTGGTAACAAGGCGGCTAAAATGCATGGATACAAAAGATAAATAGAAAAAAACTTCAATTACATGCTTGCAAGCGATGAACGAAAAGCTGTTGGTGTCGAACTAGTAAGAAAATATGGCTACTGACTTAGCATGGGTAATATATGTAGATGTAATACGTATTTGTGAAACCATCCGTCATGGGTTAGATTGTCGCTGATGAGTAAGGTGTTTGGTGCACGTATACTTTGCTATTAAATGTCCTTACACAGCATTCCACGTTGCAACCACTCTGCTACAGGAGAAAAATTTACGTTCATTGATCCTTGATTTGCTGGGGTGTAGGTCAAGGGGGTCCGCGCAAACTGGGCGCGCTTACTTTGGTAAAAACGTCATCGGGGACAAACAAACGATCCAGGCCATTCATAGGGTGGATAGCTAGTATCACATACCCCAGTATTTGCCTTTAGGAAAGGGAAAATAAGTTGAATGTTGACAGTCTGCTTTCAGAGAGCAGTGTTACCAGACCTTTGACCAATTTTCGCTTGAATCTCAACCTTCCCTAAGACGGTACATTTTTTGACAGTCCAGGGTCTCCGTGTCTGTATAGGGAATTCAACGGGCGACTGAACGAAGCTTCCAAATATTTTGGAAAATATTTATTTTTCAAACGCTGTAAGGGCTCGCCTAATCAGCTGCAATAAGGATCTGGCTGAGTAATTAAAAC